TGTGATCGAATCTGTTCATGATGCTCAGTCACACCCTCTGACTGCGGTTACAGCACCTGTTACCTGGGAACAGTCTCCTGATGAAGGCCTTCTAGCTGGCCTTTAGTCTCTCACAGTCCGCTAGAAAAACATGTCTCGAATCACTTGATTGGCAACGAGCTGAACAAACGACTTGTCCCCCCCCACCGCGGAAATAGTTTCAGTCCCCATAATTCTCAACATTCATAACTGTTCTATTGTCAGAATGTGTATTCCAATAGTGATAAGCAACCACGACTCTTTATTCGAGGTTGATTATAGAACAATGAATCACATGATGCTTGGACAGGCACATCTGCCTTTGTCTTTAGACCATGAGCATCTGACAGCTTATGTTAGAAGAGTGCCTGAACAAGATTAATGCCTTGAAATCTCTGGGGAGACCAGTAATGCTCATGCCCGATGCGAAGTGAAAGCTACTTATAAAGGTGACGTCCATAGCTAAGGTAGCAATTGGAAGTCACGACAACATCAAAAACAGAAGCGACAGGCACCAATTATTCTCACTTTGTTTTTTCTTCTATCTCTCAACCATTTGATCGCCACAAATGGCTTCCCAAATGCACCTTTCGAACTCTATCGATGAGCGATGCTCTTATTTCCCACCGGTCAGAAGACAACTAAGTCTTGACCCCAATCTCTTCGATGGTTTAAAACTCACATGCGTCATCTGCAGGCAAGAAATGAATATCGTTGGAGATGGATTTCCAGAGAGTGATCACCGGTCTGATGGCTTTGCGGCGACTCATGGCGTGACAAGCGCCCGCGAGCTGAGAAGACGTAGACCCCAACCTTCGAAGGAAAGCACGGCAATCGTCGTCCCATGCGGCCACATATTCTGCAGAGGCTGCCTGTACGCCCTTTGCTGGGAAGGATTTGATGTCAATGACTTTGTTCCAGGAAATGAACAAGCAAAGAGCGATCCGGCATGCCCCATGTGCAAGCAGAGTCTTTGTTTCGAAAACTGCGTCTTCCGCTGTCGCTACCCAGGGATCCCTTTCCCACGAAACAAACGCGCGCTCGACATATTTCCGCAAACAATGAATGAGCAAATGGAAAATGCCATCTGCCCAAAGAATTGTAATTCCTGTGCGTTGCTGGAATTCCTGCAGCATGTCCAGGGGTATGTTGCAGACACTTTGGATGAGATGCCAGAACAAGCGGGCCAAAACGTGACGGTTGAGACAACAGTAACTGACAAACCCAGCATAGAAACCTTCGAGAACTTGTTTCATAATTATCTACAAGATTCGATCACGCGATACAGGATGTTGACGAGACTCCGGCCCTGGGGAGGTCCGGCTGCCCATCCTCGACTTCGATATATCTTCAAGTAGCGGAACGCATGGAAGTGGCCAAAAGCCTTGGTCTAGGTCGGTTTCGTTAGAAGTAGCAGGATAGCAATGACTTAGTGTATAAAAAATAGGCGTTTATGTCTTCACTACAAGCCGAGTTGATCTTCACATTGTTCTCAAACACGATGCAAAATGGTCTGATCTTGCTTTCGCGTTTTCGGCTCGGTTATTGGACAAGGAACACCGGTTGGCCATACTACCTCCGTGGCTAAGCCCACACTGTCGCTTGCTGGGATGACTGTGGCCCAGGAGCTGTTCGCTGTTCTTTGCGGGTGGACTTCTCGATACGAAGTTGCATGATCACGAGTCGGTGGCCAGACCGAGACCTGCAAAAGTCATGCATGGAAACATTGTACAACAGTTCCACGCAGTCGTAGTGACGTTGCACAAGTACGTACCGCCCAGTGCTTCATTCAAGCTTTGGGGCGCAATACGACGGCGATCAAAGAAAGCCCCAAGATGGAGGTGGCATGTGCTACTGACCAGTGACGTCTCCGTGCTAGTCTAGCACGTCGATCAACTCGTGGAAATCCGTCTCGTGTTGCGGGGTTTTCCACGGACAGAAGGAGAATATCTGAGACCCCAGATTTCCTGTCCTCCTCCCCTAGACTACTGCAACCACCTCCGAGCTCCGTCTGGCTAATCGAAAAGGTTCTCTGCTGCAGCACGTCAAAGCAATGTTGGGAATTCCACCATTCCGGACGTCCCGACGAGGCGGTCTGCAGGCTTCTGGTTGTACCGCATCATCGTATGCCCGAAAGAAATGTTTGCTACGGATTACGGGTGGGCACATCCGAGTAAGACCTATGTGAGACCTAAATCCTCGTCACGCTGATCGTTCGTATTTTTGGCGAGACCGCTTGCTGTCAGTGAAGACTTCGCCATCAGCTAATCCAGCGACGCGTATGATAGCACCTTCGAATACGTTCTATTTTGAGCAGTTGATGATTGATCCAAGGCTGCCCCGTGGTCGACGAATACATAAAGCATACACGTCTCCCCACTTGCCCTCTACATTTTGCTACTCTTCATCACACCACCTCCTCTCAACCTCTCACTGTCACAAGATATAAAGACCACAATTCAAACACAAAATCGACCAACGCGAGATCATACAACCGTTGAGACTCGTTATATTAACCATCACCAAAATGCGTTTCTCTACCCTCTTCTCTATCGCCAGCCTATCTTTGGCAACTCAGGCCAGTCCCATGCGCCGAGACGACCCTCACCGAGCCGATTTTCGCATCTGGAGCGAAACGGGTTGCGGCCAAAACGGCTCAAATGAAGGAAACCTAGGTGTTTGGACGATCAATGAATCCCAGACCAACCAGTGTCAACCGACGTTCAACGCCCAAGTAGTAAAGGGAATATTCCTCAACGACATTCAAACCGATAACCAGACTACGTGCACGAGTAAGTTAAGCCTTGTAACTTGCATTCCATACTGTAACTAACATATCCAAGTGTATGCGTACACAGAGGAGAACTGCGGCGGAGTTGCTCAAGTTGTCTCGGTCAAGGAATGCGCGAATGTACCTGACGGTGATGCTAGCTTTTTCAGCTTCAACGTCGAGTGCAACGCTCCAGTCCTTGAGTAGAGAACGTGAAAGGATTTTGTTAATGCGCCGTTTCGAATTGCATATGGGAGGCGTCCAAATTGGTTTTTGAGATTGCATGGCATAATTAGGAGTTTAATGGCCTGGTATGGCTCAAGGAACACTCATTTGATGCCTCTAGAGGGTAATTAATTCACCACGGAGACGAGGTGAGAGCCAGACATAATTCACTCATTAATTCATCAGTACTCCGCCTACTCTTTCAGCTCATTTCCTTGAGTATGATGTCTATGATTGGGGCAGGGTGTGCTCGTCAGATTCGCATGTTCTTGAGGGAAGAAACTTGGTACTGATATTCATACCTAGTGCCTCCGCTATGGACTTTTGCATCCTGGAACATGCGTTTCAAACCACAAAGCCTTGACCAGAATATTATTCCAGCTTCGTTGCTCCACCGATCCGGATCTGGCGATAGCTTGCGCATATGATGTCAAAGGCGTCATAGAATCTGGCGCTAGCAGCGGAAGATGGTCATTCCCGCAGATAGTCGCGTCAAGCATTCAAATCACCTCGGTCTCTAGATTATTTGCCGGATGTCTGGCTGCCATTTAAGCAACCATTGTTCACGCACGAAATGCGCAAAACATCACTTGATTACGTCGCATTTCTACCGCAATCATGAGCTCTCAACCAATTGGCCTGACCACGATCCCGAAGCTGCTCCGTGAGTGACTCATCAAGACATGCAAGATTGGCTCCGAGATCAGTCACTGACCTGACCCCTTCGACGAACAGCTGTGACGGGAACCTTCGCACTCCCTTTCACTGCGTACTACGCGTTGCTCAGCTTACGAACGGTTCGCGAACGTCTGCAAAAGGAGCACTACCTCGGGGACAACTCATCGACTGGCAGCGCCGACTGGCGCGCCTACAAGAACGACAAACTGTACCTCCTCACTCGTGCGCATACCAACTTCACCGAGAACGTTCCGTTGGCTTTCATACTCGCTACTTTGGTGGAGGTCAATGGCGGAAACCGTAAGGTGCTGAGTTGGTTCCTCGGCAGCTTCCTGGCGATGCGCGTGCTGCATGCCGATTTCGGTATCCTGCAGCAGGGACTCGGCAGCGGCAGGCCCATTGGCTATTTTGGCAGTGTTGGACTTCTGAGTGCCATTGCTGGATATGGAGCCTTCTTGGTCAAGGGCTATTGGGGCTTCTGAGCTACGCTTGAAAGAGTAAGCAAGTCATTTTTGAGGGCCATTCCAATCATCATACAATAACATCGTATACTATTACCATATGTGCTCCGTATTAATGAGTAGTATGTGCATGTTGACAAGTATCTGCATTTTGGACATGTTCTTACCAGCGTTAATATCGAGTTGATGACTGCGATGGACGCTTTAGTGCATGATGCGGGGTAACCGTGGCAGTCTACCGCCACCACGCACTGAAGGTCAATTGAGACGCGCTGTATTATTCACGAACGAAGAGAACAGTAAATATCGGCGTAATCACCGGACAGGCCGGCTGTCATCTGAAGTAGGGGCGGAGGTGTTCATCCCAAGTTCCAAAACAGGATGGCTTGGAAGGTCGCCTGATCGCCCGCAATTAATTCCAAGCATGCGCAGGTTCCACGTACATGACTATGCCAAAACTCAAAGCTCCTGAGGCACAGCAGGCCTCCCCAGTCAATCCGCAGGAAGTTCGGTTAACGCTTCAGAGCTTGGAGGCTTATAGATACAGCCCTGGAGGGTTGCGATCGACCGTGATTAGCAGAGCCAAGCATGTAGCTCAGGGCTGAATTACCCTGCTTCACCCATTTTAGATTGACTTGGCAGGTTCAAAATAGAGTTGACACTTCGTGCCCCTGATGACCCTTTGAGAGAAATAATCCTACACGTTGAGCAGTGAACATCATATATTTATGGCCTCGAGATCGTCCCACCAGCGGCTCAGTTACACTGCTCTATCATCCTCTTGAACCCATCATTGCACCATTTGACAGCGATTCTCCAATTCGTTGAAGTTGCTTTCAGTCGCCAAAATGCTCACTATCAAATTCGCCCTATTCCTGGCACCCTTATTTGCACTTGCTATTCCCGTCGACATCCAAACAAGACAGAATAATGAATGCTGCTACAAAACCGAGGTGAGAAAAGTTGAAGAACAAGCGTATAGCCGGGATCACAAGACTGACTCTTCCCAGGACATCAATAAGCTGGTTTTTAGAACCAACGGCACGTCAGGTCAATTCTTGGACACTCTATCATGGTGCATGCTGCAGGTCGACCGGTAAGTGCAAAGCCTGAATAGTCGCCGTGTTCCTTCACACGTATTGACTCCAAGTAGCGACGCAAGCGACCCGAATAATTGCGAGAAGGCAACACGTTCGTATTGGGCAGGATACTGTCCCGAATCACCTACGAAAGTCATTTCATGCCCCTCAGCTTAAGATATGATCATTTGGTCTCCTAAATTCAATTTCTCAATCTAATCAATACGCCCCGCTAAGCGACATGTTGTCATTACACTGCTAGGACGTTTGGATGAAACGTTTAAAGTGAGTTGGCATCAAAAGCTGGATGTATTGTATCCAATTCATGATACCAGTTTGGAGCGACTTCGCATACATCGAGTGCCAGCTAAGGTCTTACATGTGCTTCGATTAAGGCTCGAAAGTAGTCCAACTCTTCCATAGGAATGCCCCAAAATCTCTCCATTTTAAGACGGTACTCCTTCGTGTCTCGATACCCTTTCCTTCAGCGAGAGTAATCTTCTACGCTTACACCAACCGGCCGCCTTCGACCTCCGTCAGCCTTCGCGTCGCACATGAAGTTGAAAAGTGCCAGAGGCCACATCTCACACCCCGGTGGTGGCATGGGAGCCATGACATGCACCGGTATTTCAAGTGTACCATCATGTTGCCAATGCTCGTATACCACCTCTCTGTTGCAGTCCATCCCCGCGTACGATCCAGCTTCTAGCAAAACTGTTGCAAGACGAATATTCCCCGTCCCAATTGCGAAATGCAAGGAACTCCGCGCGGCTTCCGAATTCCGCCCGTCTTTGTTGGGTGTATCCAACTTTTCTCCGGGGTTGATCAATGCGCTTACGAGCTGCTTGATTTCTTCCCTTTCTCCCTTGAAATATGAAGCCCACTGTAGGAGAGTCCATCGCTGGCAGCAAGACAAAGACCAGTATTGCTGCTTCTCACGTCTTAACTTAGAAATGTACCGTATCAGCGCAGTAGCTCCGCTCGTTACCATGTGATAAAGGGGAGGCAGCTTGCGATGGACATTTGCATTCCAGTTTGCACCGTGTTTGATCAACTTCTGGGCTGTCTCGGTGTGCAGATGGGCAATTGCTAGACTCAAACTCGATGACAAGTCACTTGTCATCAAATACTCAGATGCCAGGTGTCTTTTCAATGGGCACATGCAGCAATAGAAGCCGTCGCGATCGATGTCGTCGGCAACGCTTTTGAAACATAACAAATATTCCACGCACTCATTCTGCCCGTTCTGCGCAGCAATATGCAGTGGGGTTGCACCTGATAGAGCGTTTAGTCGAGGATTGTGCTGACATCCCAGAGTGAGATACATCCCAAGGTCAGCGCCGTGGTTGACGAGCTCGCGCAAAATTGGAAGATTGCCCACAGCAGCTGCCCGAAGTATGTGTGGCGTGACCGAAGTATCTTCCATCAATACGCATTCCCAAGGTCCTGGAGGAAAATGGGGGAGATCCTCCTCAACGGCTCGTCTGTAAATGTTATCCATTGAAATTTGAGACAAACCACGGCATGTTCTTTGAATCGCAAGCATGCCGCGCACGCCCAGAAGATCGACGATTTCGAACATGAGTTCTACCGGTAGTTGATTCATTTCTTTGGCAACATTAACCCGTTGTCAAGCCGTCTAGAGAGGAAAATTCCGGAATTATTTATCAATGATTTCAAGGGATCATATGGGGGTAGAAAGAGTGTCGTAAATCCGACATGAGGAGAATCAGTCTAGACCTCGTGTAGTTGTAGAGAAGAAAGTTTTGAAAAGTAGGTTTGTTCGGTGGTCTGGGACTCTGGACACGTTTCATTATCAAGGTGATAATCACTGAATTGACCACCAGGGTTGTTGCTTGCGTTATGGTCAGGCTCTACATCATAGTTGACAGTCCATCACAAAGGCTGGGGAAAACTCCCAAAGGTCGACCCAATCGGCCTTTGACCTAAATCAGTCCGGGCCATGTAATATGAATTGAGTATGGTAAATGGTATTGTTTTTAGATGTCGGGGCAGTTGTACGTCATATAAAGCAATTTTCATCTTTTCCTCATTCTCATACTTTATAATCATACAGCCTCTTTTACATGTTGAAATGTCCAGCTCACAAGACATGGTAGCGTACAGACAAGAAAGGTGGGCGAAGGCCTTTTTGTATCCCACGCTACCAAGCCGAGATGAAGGCAAATTCGCAGCGCATGTCTGCCATCCGAACTAATAAATCCGCCCTTCCGTCAGGAAAGCTGTTCATGCCGACGTAAGGGACGGTGTCATGAGTAATCAGCTTCTGAAGACAGGCGTAATGATACGTCAGAAGTCTGCGACCTCTGAACTTGTAGGAGTCTTGCCATCATGTAGCTTGGCGGCCTCCGAATTCACAAATGCCGAAGATCTCATCTCGTGACTAACAGCCGTCTGAGATGCCGCTATCATATGCCATCGCCGGCTCGACGGTTCAAGTTCGTTTCGTTTCTACCTCCAATGATGCTCATTCAAGAGTGAGCATGCCATGAAACACCCGTCTCCGATGAAGTTACTCCAAACAAAAGATGCGATAGTATCGCATGTGTCCAGGTGAAGTATTTCGATGCACATCGTGTGCACATTCGGTTTCAATTCCGGAGACTTCACACGCATGTCCTTCATCTCAACTGAATAAGGTTCTGGACTGATCTATTACTGGGGTTCCAGCAGCTGCTCTTGAGCGTTCATGGTTGGCCTGATCGGCCATGACCGGTTTCAGTTTGCTTCACCCGGAAACTTTTACCGGGCTGAGTAGAAACGTTGCAGCTGTAAGCGACACATGAGAACAATTGTCGAACTCAAGCAGTATCGCAAATGATGTCTTGTGATGGGCAAGCTTCTTTATGAATTGAGCCCTATAGGGATTCTTCGCCGGGTGTCTCGGGGCCGCCGACAAGCCGGGACCATGAACAGCCCACACGCGAATGAAGAGTGTTGTCGATCTTCGAACCTTAACCGGGAGGTTTCGTCACAGCTATATTGTGGGTAAAAATAGGTCCAACTTTATGCCCAAGGAAATGCTACAAATTGTCGCATCTTGCCTACCGTCTGCGCAGACTTTGGTCGACAACAATCACATTAGTTCCACTATTCAACTCTTCTCTACAAATACACAAGAACGCACCACAATGCACATCAACAAGCTGTTCGTTGCCGCCATCTTTGGTCTTGCGACCACGGTCATGGTAAGTTAAATGCACCATTGGTGTGGCTCAGGCCAAAACAGAAGCTAATTTGCGATTTCTCTATAGGCTCAAGAGGGCAAGTGCACCGCTAAGGGAGAGTGCCAGGAGAACGCAAGCGGTGTCAAGTTGCTCTGCACCTCTGGCAGCTGCGCCAACAAGGCAGGACAAGCCTGCACAAGGAACGGACCCGGATCTTCGAATGTTGCAAACTGTCCTAAGTAAGGCCTTGAAAAAGAGGCTTCGGGGGCGGCGGAAACATCCAAAGTGGGGAAAAAAGCAGGGACAGCTACACACTCGCCTGTATTCAAAAATAACCTCCATTATGTTACCATTACTTTGATATAGACTCTGCATTCGTTTCGTGAATTTCGTGAACGAAAGGATGCTGTCTTTAAGCAGCCTTGAGTTGACCAGCGAATGGGCTCCGACCTCTGATCTTTCCCCCATAGATGCACAGCAGCCACGGAACGAGGGACAACAGCAGGCCAATCCCACCCAGCAAGCTACCAGCTGGCCCAAAGCCTAGTTTCTGAAACATGGTGCTCGTGAATAGGGGGAATACACCAGCCAACAGGTTCCGACACATCGATTGTGCTGCAAGAGCCGATGACGCGTAACGATGATAGATGTCGGCGAGATAGTTGAATACTGCCAGGTAAATCGTGAAGATACCAATCGTCACCGAAGAAACTGCCAAAGCAGGGACAATCCAGTGGATGTCTTTCGATGTGCTCCAGCCGAACCAGAATAGTCCGATGGGAAGGAATAAGCATTCGATGCAGGCGGAATACAACCGGCCTTCAGGAGTGGCCATCTGGCTAGGCATGAGCCTCCTGAAGACTGGGTCCTGAAAGATGGTGATGGCTGCGCCCAAGATTGACCCGACGATGACAGCGGTGTAAACACCACCAACCTGACTGCTGTTGAAGTCATATGTAGACCGAAATGCGAGGCCGATGCTGTTGAATTGCATGAAGAGAATTGCCCATGCGAAGGAGACCCAGGCCGAGAACCAGAAGACAACCGATTCCGTGAAGAGCAGCTTGAGGGGAAACGAGAAGCTCCGCCATATGATGCTTAAATCGAGTTCGGGGCCCTCAAAATGCTCCCGAAATTGAACCCGAACGGGAGTATCTATGCTTTGCTGGAGTTCTGACTGGAGCATAGGTCGATCTGCAGTGGTCGATGATGCTGTGCGATGCAGAATGATATCCGCGAAGTGCTTGTTCAAGGCAATGCACTTCTTCCTCAATACCACGTTGCTTCTTGTCTCATCGAAGAAGAAAAAAAGAGCCAACGTAGTTGATCCGACCGTAATCATCTGTACGTAGAAGATCCATCTCCAGTGAAGATGGTCGACGATGATTCCACTCATCATGGGTCCGAGGCCAGTCCCAATCATGATGGACAGAGAGTACAAAGCCATCGGCGTGTTGCGATTTTCCTTGTGAAAGACATCGCCTACAACCCCTCCGGTCAGTGTAGCAAAGACTGATGCGCCGTTGCCAACGATAAGCCGTGACACGAGCATCCCTGGAAAAGATGCGGTGATTGCACAACCCAGAGTGCCGCAGAAGAAGACCGCGCCTGAGCCAACGAAAACCCAGTATCTGCCGTAGATCTCGCTGATCAGGGCGAGGATCATTGGTGCGAAGCCGAAGCCGAGGACGAAAAGCGTGATACCCACGTTGAACTCTGTGTTTGAGATGTCCCATTTCTGGGTCAAGGGTTCTGAAGCCATGGCGTATCCGCCCGCAGAATATGCTGCCAGCGTAGAAGCAATGAATGTTCCGAACAGTACCGTGGTTTTCTTCTTAAGCGTCCATGCGAATGGCGACTGATATTTGGCGTCTATCGCCGTCGGATATGAACCTGCCAGCAATCCTTCAATGCCATTATTCTGCAGGTATTCTGAGATTCGGAAAGTCGACTCAAGTGCATCAACATTCAGGGGTAATTCGACGGTGT